CCCTTTTATTCCAGCTCTTTCCTGTTCTTTTCAAGTTTAACTCTTTTGTTTCTCTCTCCGTCTTTCTTTATACACACGCACACACACTCATACGCACACACACACACTCATACGCACACACACACTCACACACGCACACACACTCACACACACAAATTCACACACAATCAAAGCGCACACGCACACACACACACACACACACACACACACACATATATATATATATATATATATATATATATATATATATATATATACATATTCATATTCCACTGTCTCCTCAAAATCTAAGCGTATAACTCTACCCCTCCTATTGTCTCTAATTCTCCTTCCCCCTTCCACTCCAATTATCAACTCCCTCTCCAATTTCTCCTCCTCCTTCTTCCCCTTTCACTCGAGAGTCGCACCATCGGCATCTTCAAGTGGCACTCGAAGGGACTCCATCTAAGTGCCTTTTTGTTGTCCAGGCCGAGGCACGGTGTTGTCTCGAGTGGGGGAAGGGGGGAAGGGGGAAGGGGTTTTATGAATTTTATATTATGTTAGGTTCTATCCACGTGAGGATTGGGTTGTCTATGCTAGTTTATTATTTTGTTGTTTTCCTGTCACGCACACAAATACGCATGTGCACAGTCAAATAAACAAACAAAAGCCCACTTTTACACAAGCGAGCAAACACACACAAAAACAATAAACAAACGCACAAGCGCACTTACACACACACACACACACGTATATATATATATATATATATATATATATATATATATATATATATATATATATGTGTGTGTGTGTGTGTGTGTGTGTGTGTGTGTGTGTGTGTGTGTGTGTGTGTGTGTGTGTGTGTGTGTGTGTGTGTGTGTAGACAGATAGATAAATAGATAGATAGACAGAGAGAGAGAGAGAGAGAGAGAGAGAGAGAGAGAGAGAGAGAGAGAGAGAGAGAGAGAGAGAGAGAGAGAGAGAGAGAGAGAAAGAAAGAAAGAAAGAAAAAGAGACACAGCCAGATATAAAGACAAAAAAGAAAATCCAGAAAGAAGAAAAAAAAGGAATGGAAAATTCAAATCCTCATTTTCTGCTGTCTAAATATAAGGTTTCCATGGTTAAGTATGGCACAGCCTTTTGAATACAAAATGAGGGGATTTTCTTATGAAAGAAAGAAACCTTACAATTTACAAGGATAAAGTGCCTCTTTCCTCTGAATGAAGCTCCTCATATGAAATCTTAAATGAGATCTCTGATGAAAACGGAGGTAGAAAAAAATTGTAGTTGTTACATAAACGGGAATATCATTAATGAAACTAGATTATGTATGTTTGAAATGTATTCTGTTATGCTGTCACATTTTTTCTTTCATTAGTGGAGCGCGATGAAATAAGCTAAATAAATAGGTAAGTAATTTAGGGCAAGATGTTTTATTTTATTTTTTATTTTTTTTGAACCGAGAGAATTCCTAAACAGAAATATTAATTAATAAAAAAATAGAACATGGCTTCTCTTTTCATTAGTATAAATCTGTGAAGTTCAAGTCATCTATTACATATTACCATTAATCTGAAATACCGATTAAGCAAAGAAATCGTTGAATAATATCCCTCTAAATGTCATCATCCATCCGTTAATTTCACTACATTTACCTCGAAATCTCGTTCCCATTTTCTTCCGAGCGGCGAAAAGAAAACGGAGATATAGCGAACGATCGCATCATTTCCAAGGAGCAGCTCACTGTAAAGAGCGAATGGCGCGCATTGATTAACAATTATCTGAACCATTTTCCTTGCCGTTTGTGAACCGTTATTGCACCTGCCCTGCCGTTATTGGCCCATTCCTTGTCTTTAATGATACTAAGCCCATTTTCCATCGAGAAAGAAACTTGGATAACGCACACTAACGTACACACTCGCTCTGCCAGTTCCGTGTGTGCGATTTACTTGACTTTTATTTTCGTAACTTATATTAAATTTAGTAACTTGCTTCATCCATTGAATTTTTTTTTTTTTTTTTTTTTTTTTTTTTATTAAATTTAGTAACTTGCTTCATCCATTGAAAAGTTTTTTTTTTATTATTAATATTTGATTAAAGCCCTTTACATGTAGGATTATAAGCATTTATCAATGGATTATACTTTCAATGTATATATCCTTCCCTCTATTCTCCATTCAATATAAATGACAAGGAAGGAATCGGTATAACATAAAATAAATTGTATGTCACGTGTAAAACCGCCCAAGGGAAGAAAAGTTGCGGACAGAAAATTGTTGAACAAAACGTAAAAAAAAGAAAAAATGTCAATATAGGTTTCCCATAAAGAAAGCACATTTTACTTGGTCCCGCACTTGAGACTATCCCTCATCATGACTATTTAAATTCATAAAATAGATAATCGCAAAGATTATCTAAAAATACAGCTTATCGTACATCGCATACATTACGACCCGACTTTACAGACGCACTACTT